GATGTCTGTAACGAGCGCCGGGTACAGCCAGCGTTTGCCAAGCCGCCCGCGGTTCAAGCGAATCTAGCGCTGCTTCACGCGCCAGTTTTTCTATTGCAGCACGCCCACGCATGTTTTCAACTGAGCAATAGCGCGGGTCTTAGTCCTGCTACGCACTAAGAAGCTTTGAAATTTCGAGGGTGGCCTGTTAACCAAAACTTTAAAACTGCCAAAATATCGCAGGGAGTTGAGATCGATGGAAGAATGGTGGTGGTACAGCCCTGGTACAAACTGAAGGGGTAGGATAGACGGGAAAGCGTGACGGACGTTTGTGAATACAAATTTCAAGACAAAAATCAAAGAATAACGAATTAATCGCCTGCAAGCTGCTCTGCAGCACTTCGTACTGCTATCCAGGATAAGATGAGACCCCGTGAAAAAAAAAGTTGCTTATCTACATTTTGCTCTTTTCGATAAAACGGCCGTTAAAGTCAGACCATCCAATTTCGTACTTATGTGAAGTTTCGAGAAATCGACGTTTTTCGTTTTGCCAGAATAAATTACGGCCCCCTCTGCAAAACCAGTAGCTGCAAGCGTGGCGTCATGGTGGCTGGGCAGGGTGAGGCATCCCCTCCGGTTCCACCAGCAGAAGGCACACAAGACTCTCCTTCCTCTGACGAAGAATCTGCCTCGGAATACGTCGACAGCTCCGATAGCAACTGGTCAGGAGGCTCTGTTGTCGACTCGATCACGCTAGATGATGACTACGAAACGCAGGAGAGTTGTGAAGAGGTGGATGTCTCTGAAGACGATCTCAGCGTGCTTCTCGTGGATGAATCTATAGCTGCTAAGGCGCGTCGGTCGGGAAGACTCCTGCGACAGCAAATGCTTAGAGGGCCTCGAGTCGGATGTCGAGCGCTTGTTAGTTTCTTTAACGCGCATGGGGAAGTCAGAGCGTGTAACCAGTCTTCTTACGGCTATTGCTGTTCTCATGAAGGCCGACAACGCTATACCTAGCCGAGGCCACGGCGTCCGTGAAAAATTCCCGTACGTGCTACCTCTCGTCGGCCGTGTGTGCGCTCAAGCATTTTGTAGCTGCTACAATGTTTCTTAAAACGCCGCGCGGACATGGCTGCAGAGGCGAAACACATCCAAGAAGAGCGCGTGGATGCCCCATCCTTCGTAGATCAGCTCCAGAAGTTATGGAAGCCATTGAAGAAGCGAGGAGCTCAGAGGCTCAACGAAAAAAAAAAGCCGTGCTTCTAAGACATAGAAGAGGGTGCGGAAAGCTTCATCTAAGTGAGTTTCATTCAGTGTTAAAACAAAATGTTACTTACGTTGACGAACAATTCAAAATGTTACTTATCGCAGGACTCCGAGACAAAAGTGCCGATTTTGAAGCTTCCAGATCAGCCGTTAAAACGAGCTTTTGACACAAGCGGCCTCATACAGCAAAAAGCATAAAAAACCAAAAACAATTTGCATTTTTAAATTACGATAGAGATATTTTTTCAGGCATCTATTGCGAAAATTTTTATTAGACACCGAGGGTCGAACAAGGGCTTAAAATGACAGCAAGACGTTGGTCTTTCACGTAGTGGTCTCCGTTTCAAAAGTAATTAAATGTAGATAAGCAACTTTTTGTTTCACGGGGTCTCAGATGTGGGCTCAGTTTGTCCCGCCCATGCCATATGTAATTTAAGGTTTATCTGATTACTTTATGGCCAGAGTAGAGAATCGATCACTTTGGAAAACACAGAATAACGTTAGAAACCATTACATAAATTGGGAGTCTACTAAACAGTTATATATATAACTGTTTAGTAGACTCCCAATTTATCTATTTTGATAAGCATAACCTTATCCAGGCCAATGGCGCAAAATTATGAACGCCTAGCAGTCTCGCAGTTGCTGTCACTGGCTTTGAAAACAGCCGTGGAAACTAAACTCTATACAAAAGCTAGTCTCTTGTCCGATAGTTTTTTTTCGTTACTCGACAAATCTCATTTCCAACAAGGCATTGCTGAAGCTTTAGTAGAACGTCATTTCTTAGCATGAAGTATACAGGGGCAAAATACAGTTCCAGGTCAGGTCAGTGGGTTGTTGGTTAATTTAATGTGACACGGTCTACAGCTAGATGGGGGTCTTCCCATTCTCGCGGACTGTATTCAGAAGGTCTGCTCGCTACAAGGACCACGAGCTACATCACACGAACAGGGGCACAGGGAGTAGACGGCCGCGTTCCACGTCTAGAGTGGGACCAACAGGGAGAGAATGGAGAGGTATTTGGTGTAGTGATTTCCAAGTAATCGCTGAAGTGG